ATCTACATGTGTTGGTAGTCTATATAGTAATACTGTATATATTTTAGAAACATTTATTTTAAGAACACCGTAAGAACACCTTCAGGCTGATTTTCAGTAAACACCTGTTAAATTAGAACAAAATCAGCCTCAACTCCAAAAATGGGTGTTCTTTTATGCGGGTTTTTACTGTAGTTGTTATACTATAATTGTCGATAAATTCAACCGTTTGTTCCAAATCATAGTAAACATTTCAAAAATTTTCTACAGTTATTAATGTTTTTACTATTATTTATTGTTTCCTTCACCAAGTACTGATAAAGAAACAAAAGTAGAAAAGCGTGAAACATTCGGCTCCCAGTCATCCTGCGTAGCAGACCCAGCCAAACCCTTCCTTCAAGCGTTATCAGAGACTAAAGTTGAAGATTCATCAGCTCTGAAATTCCTCTCCATTGTTAACCGATATTATAAGCATAAGCGCATGGTTCTTCACATGGAGTTTCATGATGACCATCCAGTTGAGAAAGTGGGTCGTCTGTTGATGATTTGTCTGCTCAAACATCAAGACCTTGGTTAGTATCTTTAGGTAACCATTACCAGGAGCGGGTCCAGAGGGTTGACTTCAAGACCCCTCCCAAATTTATAGGTGAAATGTCAAACTAGCGGAACTTGCTATGCTATATCCCGACCAATGAAATGCATCCTTGTTAAATAATTTGAGCATCCGCCCCTTAATTATAATTCCTAAATATATGATTTTTCAAGCACGTATAATCACTTGTCTGCTAAGAATTTTTTGAACAAAATGTTTGCTAGGCACTGTATTTTGAATCTTATGTATCACTAGATTAGTCAGTAACAACTGAGTTAAAATCATTTTTCTCTCCTTACGTTAGTGGATGGCTGTTTTACTGATTCTGTGTTGCCCTTTTTACTCAGGTAATATGGCGTTAAGTGTTGTAGAACAAAGTCCTATATCACCAAAGTCGGCATCATTGCCAGACCTAACATCTTCACATCCTGGTCCCAGTGCCTTATCGGGTCAGACCCTGACAACCATGCCCAAACCAATAGCAGAAGTCCTTAAGGTGGTGCATCAAGCTAAATGCGCTCTCATTAAGGTAAGTTGAGATAAGGAACTTTTAAGATGACGTCGATTTTTTAAAATTTTCAGCTGAGTTGTATTAGAGACCCTTAGCATTACCTTTACCGCTAACTACTAGGGATCAGGCCCAGAACACGACCGCAAACACGGAAAAACACTTCGCATCAATAAAATTAAATATGGCGGCTCTTCCAGCAACAACTTCGTTTAGACGCCTTGCTAAATGTCGAACGTTTGAGATAAAACCTGGAGTCGAACTGCAGTTTGAGGTTTGCGGTGCCTAGCAAGAACGTCGTGCAGAAGGTCTCTTTTTCTTTTAATTTATCACGGCGTCTTGCAGTGATCAGATTCACAGGTCTGACATACAAGACATCCTTTTGGTTAAAACTTGGTTCATTCTTTTAGTGTTCAGTTGCTCAGATCAAACCCCGTTAGTAGTAGAATCGGATTTTCGCGATAAATGTTTGTTTTACATGTGAATGATATAGGCCCGTCAAGAATCTTCTCGATCGTACGAGGAAGTTTGCCTACCAGCCATAGAGAGATGCAGGTTCTTGTTCACTGTACTTCGACCTGCCGTATCTACTGAGGTTAACACTTTAACAAGACTAAAGATAAAGAATACCGTGCCAAGATGGGTGCAAATAGTACGTAAGATGATTCGAGGTAAAAGATCTCTAAAAGGACAAGAAAAATCCACAACAGAGGAAAAGAACGACTCTCACGAGGGAGACACCACTGCCGCATCAAAGGAATCGCATGATGAGGAACAAACTACAGAGGACCAAGTCCACCAAGACAAGGTATGTGTTCCAGTTATCTGAAGTTCAAAGGATGACTGGTTATGAACTGTGTGATTGATTTGAGGACACAAGATGACAGAACTTAGTGGTTAGCACTGTTTCAGCACCAAAAGTCGTATTTGATGTGTTTGCTGCCCTTCAAAATAGTATTTTCAACCTTTTTTGGGGGGG